ATCCCGATTTTCGACTAAGAAAAAATATCGTAGTATGCCCTGAAACTTTAATAAACATTTCAAATTTTTTCCCAAGGTAGACCTTTTAGTACTTGACATTTCAAAAAAAAATATTAAAATCGATTAACAACTTCAAATTTTAGGGGGGTGTTTCCATTAAAAATGGGTCACACTATATATATATGTTCTATTATTTGATAAATTGTGTTAATTTTTATTGTTCACTGTGATATTATACATTTATATATTTTTACTTTTTGAATCTACTATATGTGACGTATGTATATACACTTCTGTGTAATGACATGAATAAAATATCTATCTATCTATCTATCTATAATTCATCAAACCCCCTAAATTTGAACATATGAGAATCTGCACAGCATTCACATGGTTTTATAACCTAATAATATGGCCAGTGGTTCTAGGAAAGCACGTTCATATCTTTCCCTACAAGACGGCGATGAAAATGCTGAAATGTAAAATGAAAAGTGTTCAACTATTTACCATCCCCATAGCTGCCACAAGCAAGAAAACATATCTTCGGGTGTCCCGGAATTTCAACCACCCAGAAATATATGTCAAGATCACTCACTTCCGAAAAGAAAAACAAACATCGCGCCGAAACCGTAATAAAGCAAAACATTTGAAAAGGCGGGTAATTAGGTCATAATGGACACATTAGCAGCAGACATTAATGCGTCTGGAAAGCCGCACAAAATGTTTATTCTTAACGTAGCACAAATTCATTTCGGGAGACGTATTCCCTTGCACTTCCGCACACAGAACAGATTTCACAGATTGAAGGGATGTGTGATTTCGGGAGAAATGAAGGGCTGTTGCGATGTTGCCGTATCCGATCTGAGACTTTCCACGCTCATGCTCGACAAAACTCCCACGATCATTACGGGAACTGGGAAGTATCCTAAGCACTTCCTTTCAGTATAGGTTACTTATCATAAATTCTCCATCAGCCATGACTAGTAATATATCTATAAATCATAATTGTTCTGAAGTGCGTTCAATTTGGGTTAATTTTGATTCACACAGTCACTTATTTGAAAGCGGCAAAACGCATCCACAAATCTAGATTTCTGGGCATTGGTTTCAAACGAGAAATATCCAAATTTCAAGAAATGTGTACAAAAAAAATGAATACCGTTCTTTTTTGACAGATGCTCATGCATTGAATTCTTTAAGGTTGGAAATTTGCAACTACGAACCTGATAAATATGTAGTTTTTATGTTTTATGTCTTTCCCCTCAATAAAATAAAAAATACTGCATAACTGTGTACAGAACTATTTTTAAAGGATAAAACACAAGCACTGCAGGAACATCCACATAAACGCAGTTTTCCGAATGAAAGAGTTATTTTAAACAGTGGAGTTCAAGGTATGCTTTGGCTGTAAACACTTTCAATCAGCACATCAAGAACTACAACATATCAAAATTTCGGCAAAATTCAAGGCAATCCATTTCTCATAAGAAATGTGCGGGGTTCTTCATCAAAATATTGAGGAAACATTTTACCATACAAAACAAAATTATTCTTCANTCACGAATCTGAAGAAATTTTGAGCCTATTTTGCCCCCTAATATGTTTTACCGTACAAATGGGGTGTTCCATCGCGAGTGACGGACAGTGTATATTACTTTGGCCAACCCCATTTAGGTGGTAGGTGCATTTTGAGCATTTCCATCAGTCCAGAGAGTTTCATCGTTCCACCTCGAATATTACGGAAGATACGGGGGTGTTTCTATAAGAAGTGAGACAAATTCGGATTTTTCAGGACCGAATTTTTTTTAGGAAAAAAGTATAATCCTAATAAGTGGGTAGTCCTGATCACGAATCTGAAGGAATTTTGAGCCTATTTTGCCCCCTAATATGCTTTACCGTAAAAATGGGGTGTTCCATCGCGAGTGGCGGACAGTGTATATCACTTTGGCCAACCCCATTCAGGTGGTAGGTGCATTTTGAGCATTTCCAGCAGTGCAGAGAGTTCCATCGTTCTACTTTGAATATTACGGAAGATACGGGGGTGTTTCCATGAGAAGTGAGACACACTGTATATAAACAGTATGAAATGACATCTAATTTCACAGTAAGAACCAGTTTTGATTCCGAAGAAAATAGACGCTTCATTATAAAAGCCTAATATGGTCTTCTATCGCTGAGAGTAAAGAAAGTTTCATAGCATAGTTAATGATTGTTTCTCTTGAATCTCTTCCTTGAAAAGTTGTAATCGTCTACAACATTCGATATTTATTATCGTACTTATGAATATATGACCCTGAAACTTTCCATGTTCGAGAATTGAAACTTGATTGAACTGTCCTTTTCAGTTAAACAGTAATCTACAATTGATGAATTGTTTCATTCAATTTTTTTCGGTAAAATCTGTGTTATCAGTGTTTATTACGACTCATTATGAAAGTAAGGTATAACTAACTGTTGGGACATAAAAATATGGTACAATACTAAAAAAAAAACTTATCCTGTCTTCCAAGAACTTTTCTCAGTCTTGAGCAGCACCTCACATGACAGGTGTATTACTCACCTCAGACAACATTGTTATATTATGAATAGTCGCTGTCGGTACCAATTTGAAAAAGCAATGACTAAGGAAGTGATTCACCAGGATTAGATTGAAATACAGCAAAACAGTAACCGGAGACAAAAAAACCAGATGGTTGTGGAATCATTAAATTATCAATTCATTATATATAGTACTAGTACTATGTTGCTGTATTGCTGCTGTTCCAAGGTTTTGACAGACTCGAATCAACGAACTCAGGCGTGCGCAGCTTTATAGAACAGTGCTTTCAAAAAAGTGTTCTACAGCGCCATCTAGTGGCTTGTTACAGAAAAATTGATAGCCTAAAAACATTCTCTATGAAAAATTACTTATACATGTCAAGTTCCATCACGATCGGTTGAGCGATGTAGAAGTTTATCACTTACCAACCAACAAACATCCATTTTTATATATTTGAACATTTTATTAAAACAACGATAAAAATAAAATAAAAACAACAATAAAAATTAATTGGCGCTCCGGGGCGACTTCATTGATTCCAGTGGCGCATTTGCTTTTTCAGCTGCAGGAAAACCCGGAAAAAACCT